AATTAAGAATTTTCTGCAGTGATACACACTCTTTTTTCTGCCGTATGATCCTCACATATCAGTAAAGCAGTCTACACACACAGTGAGAACACTGAAAATTAGAGAAATCCTTATTTCCAGTTGTTTGTTCCCATCTTTCACTATTCAATCTCATCTTTCATTATTTCAGTATTCACTTTTTCAAACAAATATGACTCCTGCACAGCTGGTTAACATATTTTGTTGCTAGAAGTCTTATTAACCTAAGCTAGGAAGTTGGATAAAAAAACAAAATACACACCACTGACACATGTAACAAAACCACAGATACCTCAGATGATTAGACCAAAGTTACTCTGCAAAGTTTTATAAGTAAAAGAAAAGTATTTGATTTTAGTGATATCACCTGGGGTATTTGCGTAACATCAGCAAACGAAGACGATCTTTAGCCTCCTCAATGTTAAGTGGTGGCCTTTGTGAAAGAGTGGAGTCATGTTCCAATCTACTACAGAGATTCTGAAGTTTTATGAGCAGCCCTGCTTTGTCCTGTTTCCCAACAGAGATCCAGTGAACTCCTCCTGGAAAGTAATCTAACAAGAAAAGCAATATTAATCATGCCATACATTTTAAATAATTTAAAATATTTTATAGCAACTTACAGCAGTAAGTCAGCATTAATTGAAACACAAATCTCTAAAATCTGTTGCAAACCATCCTTGCAAATCTGCTATTAACACACAAGGGTGGTTCTACAAGACCACTCCTGTTTATTTTTAAAAGGAACAGACTCTGTAAGACAAGTACCCACAGAAATTTCACACCATCACTGATGCTGTTGTCCCTCCTTTCTACACGTCTTCCTTCCTGTCCCTCCACAGCCCCTTCTGCATCCATCTTTCTGCTCGTCTGACCTACCATTTACATTTTTAACCATGTAGTACTGCAAGAGTTCAGAGCCTGGGGTATGACAGTGATCAAGAAGATACCTAGATGAGTCAGCTGTAGCAGAGGATGCTATAGTATCTAACCCTACATCGTTTTTTCTTTAATGCCAAGTCCTACTTTCTCCTCCTAGTGTCCTACGCAAGGAAAAATAAATAAAATAGAAAAAATGCCATTAAATGTTTGTATCTATGATCTACTTTAAGCTAAGGCAATACTAATCACCCACAAATGTCTGCTACTATTAAAAAGTTTTTTAAACTCATATAGCAAGGAGTCAGAGGACCTTATAAGCAATGCCCAAAAGGAATATAACTGGATATATTATTTTGCACTAAAAGAAATAAAGATTTTAAGGTAATCAAGGATGCACGTACTCTCATAAACCACAGCAGATTCTAAGGTGAAAAGCTATTCAAAACCTTTTTCTACAAACTAATAGAACACTTAGTGGTCCTAGACCACCACATGGTTATGGAAGTTGTATATTGCAAGCAAACATTTCAGAATCACCTAAGAAATTAAGAAATCCAAATCACTTTCAAGGTGACATATGCACCATTCATGTCCAATATGTGTAAATCTACAGTGATTTTTATAAAAATACAGATGCTTTTCTGAAAGTACCTTCCAAGAGCCGAGGATCCCTTAAAGCTTCTGCTGTTAAAACAGTCTTCCCACAGCCTGCCATTCCATAAACTGTGACCCAACCTGGATCACTTCCCAAGCAGTACAGTTTCTTTTTAATAGCATCTACCAGTTTTGGTCGAGTGACAAAAACAACCGGTCTCTGTGGTACGCCTCCTTCGCAGAGAATGGTCTTCACTAAAGTTAAGAACAAGAAACATCAAAATAAAACATGAGTTCTAAATGAGATGCCTCTTCATACTCAACCAAACAACTCGTCATCCAAAATAACTAGTGGGCTTCCTCCCCACCTCATGTCCTATAAAAATGCCCTAAAATATGCTGGACTACAAATAACAAATAACAAAAAAATACTGCTTTTTAGAAATAAAAATACTTAGCATGTAACTAGCTCCCTACCTAAAGCAGTGTTCAAATTAATAACTGCATTGGGAAAGCTTATTACATTAATCCCTAGAAGTGAAGAGAGAATTAACATCTCCCATGGAAAATGTGGCAAACACAGGAGGTCAACATTACTATACCAAACAATCAAGTCACTTTCTCAGCCAGAGGTCAGCACACCGTGGATGCAGCAAAAAAGAAAGGATGCTGTGTAGGGCCTTTCCTTGGCAGTTCACAGCACAGCACTGGGGTCCAAGCAAGACTTCCACTGCTTTAAGCTGAGATAGCATGACTTGAAAGAGGTAAAACATAACAGAAAAGGAAACGTGCACTTCATCTGCCCACTTTGTGGCTATATGAAGTGACATAACTGATAAACTTTGATTATCTAAGATAGCCTTGAACTCCACATGCCTTTGACACTTACTACATGCAGAGTGCCAGTAAATATGGCAGTTAGTCATATGCAGTTAGAAGGTTCTGCCCATTAGAAACTACAAATTTATTTCATGTCGAAGACGATCCTGATGACAATGCGGGTAAAAGTTATGGAACTTATACAAGGTAACTAAAAGATCTGATGGAAAGAATTAAGTAACCTAATAACTAGATCAATTAATCAATGATCAACTAGATCAATGTAGGTTGAGAGATTCCAGATTACTCTTCAAAATAAATATCAGAATTTTGGAGGCTACAAGTTTTTATTTTAATAGATACAAATGAAAGTCTGTCTTTCACTTACAACAAAAATTTTACAAATTAGAGAAAATAATAAGAGCATCAGTTCTTCTACCTTTTAAAATCAGCATTATTCAATATGAACACTTTCAAGGTGAGCTATAAAAATAGTAACTGTTGTAATTCTCCTGCCATATTAAGCAGAAGAAATAGACATAGTTACTATACTACCAAAATAAACAAATGCACCAACTGCTCCTTTTTCATTGGAACAGGTATTACACATAGCCACTTTCTAAGGATTAAAAAAGACAACTTTTGTTCACACTCCAGCACAGGGATTGCTGTAGTTACACTGACCGTAGGAAGTCATTCCATCCATTGAACTTTTTCTGTTACCAGACGAGACGGCAGGGATGCCGTCCTGAAGAAGTGCAGCAAGATCTCTGTACCCTTCGTGGAGCAGTGCATTATAAAAGGATCTATATGAATTATTATCCTTTGTAAGAATAATGTTTATTAGCATAGCTGCTCGCTCCTTCCGTGTATTCTAGAAAAAAAAAATTAGAAGAGGTATTACAAAACTAAGAAACTCCAAAAATAATTTAATCTATCACTTTGTAAATTATAGACTATTTATAGTTACAGAAATAGTCTTTAATTTACCAAGCCCTTAACTTTATTGAGCAACAAAAACTGTGTGCTAGAATTCGATAAATACAGGAATTAGATAGTCAGAAATTACTATTTTTAAAAGGATGGTAAAATATGTGAGTAGATTAGGGAAAGAAATAGCAGTGAGAGATAATTCTACCTGTTGCTTCACTCTCTCCTCCTCCTGTAATGTCAATACTTCATCAGAAATCATACGATCCATAATATAAGAAGTCTTGATGTCATTTTCCAGTGCTTGACGATTCATAAGCAAATAGTTTCTACTCTTGACATCCATATTTCTTCAGAGTGAAAAAGAGTGGGGGAAAGTAAAGTCAGACTGGGAACATAACTTACAAGCATGAGGAAATAAGTTTTAGAACAGCTTATAAATTTTGGTGTTAAAATCAGAAGGAGTAGCAAAGCACTAATTCTGAAAATACACTTTTTTTTTTCCCATTCCTATGAATTTATGTTTATGAACACTTTCAGAACTACAAAACCAAAGACTACAAGCTTCTCATATACTAGCATCTTGCTAAATGTCTCTATTCAAAGGTCTTCTCCCCACTCACTACATCCCCCATTTTTTATTAAGTCCTTGGATTATGTGATTGGGTCAACAGGATGAGAAAGAGGACTGGCCTCATTGCACGGGATAAACGCATTGTTGTCTCCAAGTTCAAGGACACTTGGCTCCTGACATGATGGAAGAGGGAGCACCAACACTGCCATTGACTGCGCTGTACCTTCCTTTATCAGCATTTGCACACGCAACTTCAAACTTGCATTCTCCCTCCATATCATAAAAAACCAAATGTCTGAAGAAAACAGGTGAAAACTATTAACTACGGCATAAAGAACTGATCAGAGCCTCCGAGAGTCCCAATCGACCAAAACGCTCTCTCTGATGACACTCCTGCCAGGAAAGCTCCATAAACAAGTCGAAACTCCACACAGAACACACACAGAAGCGTTGGCCTTTTCCGGCACCCTCTCCTTCAGGAGCTGGGCAGACGCAGAGCAGCTGCCTTTGGGTAAGCCCGTGATGGAGAGCCCCTTCCGCCGTGCTGACAGAATTTCCTATAGTCACTAAAAATTACGTAGTTAAGAAAGCCTCGCACACTACCTTCATCCCAACGCACAGCGGAGGAAAGGGGACGCTAAACAGATAACAATACTGCTACAAGCGAGGCAAATACAGAAGAAATCGCTCCACAAACACACCCAAAACAAAGGGTTAACTCACAGCGTGCCGCTGTTGCCAGCCGCCAACCAAATGGAGACCGAGGCGCTCAGACCGCCCGCCCGCCGGCCCCTGCCCTGCCCCGGCGGAACCCTCGCGGTCCGGTGCGGTCCGTCCCTGCGCGTCCAGCACGGCGCTCACCTGGCGGGCAGCGGGGAGCCCCGGCAGCCGCCGAGCCCCGAGCCCCGCCGGCCCCGAGCCCCGCCGGCCCCGAGCCCCGCCGGCCCCGAGGCGCAGCCGCTACCCCGCGGCTCCCGGGCAGGCGGCGCCGGCAGCGCTTCCTCCTTCCGGGCCTGGGCGGGGAAGGGCCGGCCCGGCCCGCTCGGTGCCCGGCCCGCTCGGCGCCCGGCCCGCTCGGCGCTCACCGCCGCCGAACAAAGCCCCGCGCCGCCGAGCCCGGCCGTGCTGCCGGGATCGCCGCCCGCGGCGGGCGGGCCCGGACGTGGCGCAGCGGGCGGCGTGCGGCAGCCGCGGCCAGGGGAGGGGCCCGGGCCTGCAAACGTGGTGCCTGCGGGGCAGGGCGGCCCCGCCCGCCGCTGGGGCCGGAGGAGCGCGGCGGGTACGGGGCGGCGGCCGCAGGGAGGGGAGAGCGGAGGTCGGCGCTGCCGGGGCTGGGGAATCCTGCACGGCGGGCTCGGGCTTGCCGGGGGCCCGGGGCGCGGAGGGGATGTGGATCACTATGGGGGAGAAGAGG